GACGACGGACAATCACTCATATGATAAGCTCCGCTCGACAAAGTCGACAGCCGAGCTAAAAATACTAATCTTTCACAGCCAAACAATCAGTTGGGGTAATATTAAGCCAACCACAAACAAAGTTAAGCCGAATTGTCGTTTTTGTGAGAAAAAATCCCTTTCTTTCCTGGGTCTTGTTGAAACAAAAATTGTCTTTCAACTCAGGAGCCAATCAGCGATGGTCTTACAGTTGGATGACAATTTTGGTGAGGTGATCATTGACACAGGTTTGACTACGACGCAAACCTTCACAACGTGAAATGTGCAAAATTACTTATATCAAACAGTGGATATTCACTAACACCACACAGCAAACAAGAAAAAACCCTGACATTACCTGATGGTAATATCAGTTCACCACCATCATCACTAACTTGTAGGGCATTATCATCTAAGTCATCGTCATCATCGGTATCCATTTCTTCATCACCCCCACTGGCACCTGCTTCATCGCTTCTTCTCAACTTTTTAGATTTATGCTCCTCATAATCTGGATAACTTATCCTGTGTGAACAAAGATATATGATGATTAGAATATAATGACAGTTGATTGCACTGCAAAACCACATTGTAAGGAAAACGTGATAAAAAGTTGTGGTTCTTAGGATTTATCCAGATGAATGTCCATTTGAATGACCATATTTTTCTATCAGACAGTTGCATTTATTGTATACTGAATTATTAAAATATGATCTATTGTGACCATCAACACAACTTGTCATTTATGTAAAATTGTATGCGCTACTACCAATAATACGGTATATATATGTACTAAGTTTAATACTTCATTTAATCCATTTCAAACTGCATCTGATTAAGCGTGATCATTCTAACTGCAACAGCAATCATATTTTCACTATTATATATAGAAGTGCATCTCCCATAGAAGAGTATATAAACTAATTATTGCATGTGTTTTATCATTAAAATATGACTTGTGTTTCACATAGAAACATCTATAACCCTTATCCAGTCAAGTCAATGGAATACTGTAAAAGGATTAATTATTCACTGGGTTTTAATTTTGCTTATTTCGCTGACTGGGAAATGCGCTAAATTAAAACCCAATGAATATGTAAAATTTAGCATAGAACACATTATCTAAATGATAAAACCGTGAATTTAAAACCCACTGAATATGCCTGAAATGGTGAATCAGCGAAATTTAAACCCAGTTAAAAATTAGTCATTTTACAGTACTAGTAGTAGATGGGGCTGGCAGGACAAGGGTTATTACAAAAGTGTATATAAAGGTACATAAGTGCATGCACCTTTAATAGAGCCAATACTGTATATGAAATGATCTTGTATGTAAAAGATGAATGCAGTTAGACATGATATACTTTTTCCAAGTTATTTCCTGTGACTGGCTATTTGAAAGTCCAAAAAAAAGTAAAAACCTTAGTCATATGTATTTTGTAAGCAGATGTAGTTGGGTGGAAGTCATTGTTTCCATGGAAACAGGTCTTTCCCCTTTATATTTGCATTTGTCATTCATTTGATGGAACCATTTGCTCAGCAAAATATCAAGAATTTTATAGTGCTTTTAAATTTTCTTTATATATATATGATTCTGTGTATTCTAAGAAATAACTCACCTATAATCATAAAAGTCAGCATACTCGTAGATAGCAGCCCCTTCATACAGCATCTTACAGTGTCCTCTATCTTTCATATGATTCTGTACAGCTTGAGCGGAATAGAAAGCTTTACCTCTCTCATTGCACCACAAACATACAAAACCTTCACCGATTTTCTCACCTGTAATATGCAGATGAAAACAACCGAAACAAGTTATCTCTGAATAAATTTACATTATGATTCAACTTTTGTCACCTTTTTCAAAACAAAACAAAACAACATAAATTTGCTCATATTTTGTCAATGATGGTACTCAAATTCTACATACAGTCCAAAATAATTTTTGGAATTTATGATGAGTCTTTAGATAGATCATGACAAATCTACAAATTGTTTAAGACTGTCTGATTCAGAGTCATGTCAAAAGGGCAGAAAAAAATTCACATGCAGATAAATATGGAAATAATAATCATTATTAATGTTTGTTGGGTACAAAATTTTCATAAAGCAAACATCAGCCGACAGTGGATGTACAAACTAGCAATGGAACCTCTAACTACCACTACTAAAAAGTCACTAAATTATCAGTGATGTCTCTAAATGAGCAAAGGATCCACTAGACTAGCAATGGGTTTACTAACTAGCAATGGGTCCACAATGTACCAGACTTACCAAGATAACCAATGAGACCTTCCAAGTCACTCACATAGTCAATACTAGGAATAAAGAAGCTATGTACTTTTGTCATATGTTGTACATTTTCTTCAATTGTATTGTTTGGTTGTGAGCAAAATAAACAATCAGTAACTGCTATGGCATCACCCTCCACCTCTTCCCATGATTCATCGCTGTCATAATCCATGTCTGTCATAAAAAAACAATGAAAAAAAAAACAATGTAGTTATGGCAATACAGTTTTCACTGTTGGAAACGTTCATAATTTTATATACCGGTAATTTGAGAGCATTTGGAAAAACAACATTTCGCGAACATCACTGATTCCCAGTGACATTTTATATTTAACGATTTTCATTGACTTATGGAAACGCACTTGAAGTCTCATCGTTCGCCTGCACGGTGTTGTTCCGTTCGGACATTCCTCCCTCTACAACACCGTGCGGTAATACCATTCATAACCGTGTATGTCGCATGGTTGCGCGATAGAAAGTTTACCGACCAATAGAAAGCTTTGTTATAAAGACTGCCAGAAAGCGCTCGGAGCTCTGCATTTCTGATGTTTTCGGCTTCATTACTGCCGATATGTGTTGCTTTGGGGTATAACACCTACTCTTCTATAACAGTCAACAGTGGTGACAACACTATTACCACTATTATTAAGTAAAGCTTGAATAGCTTTGGTCTGAATATCAGTGAGTTGCATGATGTATGGATATTGTCACTGTATCGCCTCGACATCCAAGACAACACAGCTTTAGCTGTGCTCAGCGACATTTATTCTCAGGTCA